CCCCCCCCCGAACACCTGTATGTAAAGCACATATTGGGGAATGATAGGAATGTGAGTGTCGAGGTCATCGGTGAACCGGGGGAGCCTCAGCGCTGCTCGGTGCAGAGACGGCAGGTCCGTAAGGCACGGCCGCTTCACCGCAGCAGTTTCCTTACCTGCAGCAACAATCCCTATCCCAGTTCCCAGTGGGAAGCCACTTCAGTGCTTCCTTCCCAGTCCCTCAGAGCGCTCGAGCAGGAAAGACTGGGCTACAGCAGGCTATTCAGTTAGCAGTGTCTTAGCATGAATACATGGGATTCTGTTATTTAAATATTTATTTACCTGATATTCTTTTTCAGGATGTTTGTACACTGTGTACTTTTTAAACTAATTTTTTTAACTTATTTCAGAATGTGTACTTTTTGAACTTATTTTCACTTTGTTTACTCCTCTGCACTATGCATACTCTCTTATACTTTGTCTTGTTTTGCACTAAATATTTGTTTGCATTTTACCTAACTTGCTACTGTATGCAAAGGAACTTCCCCCTGAGATCAATAAAGTTAATCTTATCTTGTAAAAACCTTTGTTTGAGAAGCCAAAAAGTGGCTGGATCCTGCCCTAAAAATCGCTACAGTTGAATTTTTTAGTGAGAATGTCCATCTCTTTTCTTAAATTTATTTCTGGAATTAATTGAAAATGGCCTTCTTCTGACCTACTCATAAACTTGGTCTGGTAATTGAATGTTTTTTAGCTGTTTTTTTAGTCTTTTTTTCCGAGTTCTCATCGATCGCTAAATAAAGGACATATTCGATAATTACTGATAAGTTCTGAATACCCACTGTCGTAGCAATATAAAAGGTCAGCAATTTTTTATCTTATACAAGATACAAGATATCTTTATTGTTACCGTACAAGTACGATGAGATGACATTTGGACCATACTGTATAAACCCCAATAAGAAATATACAAGATAAAAGAAATATTTAAGAAAAAAACAGCATATAGCAATGTACAAATACACAGTATAAAAGAATAAGGGGAATATTACACATGTATTACTACACATGAGTTACATTATTGCACCTGCGACAGGCAGCACTTGAGAGTCGTAGTATCACTGCAAGATAATGATCATGATCAGCAGTATTGCAGAGTATTATGGATGACACAGAACCCAGCTGTGGTACTGAGATGAATGTGATGACGGCATCGTCGTACGGTCAACATGGGTGACTGTACGATG